GTAAGCGTTCATTCCATGTGGACCTTTGAATTACTGCCTAATGGATGTTACATTCTTCACACACCAAATGACCTTCATGCCCTGATTTGGCCATGGGTTGCTGTCAGTTTTTACTCATTCATTCCAATTTTGATCCTAACTGCACTGATCATGCTCAATATATGTGGATTATTCATAAAAAATCCCTGTAAGAGATCCTCAGCACAACTTCAGCTGCCAGTAGATTTCACATTGTCAGTCCTTGTTCTTGCTGTCCTATTTGTGCTGTTTGTCACACCTGCTACTATTATTCACATTACTGAGTTCACCTTGCCAGTTTCATGGTTGAACCATGCAGATTTTATGCAAAAATTTCAAACAGCTAAAATTGTGTGTACTTTCCTAGTGTCTCTAAACCCTGTGTTAGGCTTCTACATACTGGTTTCCTTGTCCAGTAAGTTCAGATCAGAACTTCGTGGTTTCACACAAATGTGCTGGCAGGAAGGATCTTGCTTTAGAAGATTTACTCAAATATATGAGATGCAAGTCAATTCCAATGGTAGCTCTACTCAGCTGGAATATGAGCACTGCTCAGAAACTACTCCACTATAACCAAGAGCACTGCTCCAAGGCAACATAAATATTCCAACATAAAGTTGGAGAATTCTGAATTAGGAATAATTTCATACAACATTATAAATGTTTATGTATGGCTACGTGTTTTTAAAACATTGCATCTCTTCTAAACCAACTGAGAACTGTAAGAATTAAAATACACAATTCAAACTCCATGCATAAATAAATGTATCAATACTTCTTACACTTCAAAATTAATGCTACAGACTAGATAAAATGTGAACATCTCAAAATTATTTTAACTAGATTAAATATGAACACTTGAACATCTCAACATGATGCAGACATCTCAACATCTACTGGACTTGATTAAATGTTAACATCTCAATATGAAGTGGTTATATAAAATATGAACATCTTCATATGACTAGATTAAATGTGAACATCTCAAGTTGACATATATTAAATATGAACATCTCAACATGATGTAGCTAGATTAAATGGGAACATCTCAAGTTGACATATATTAAATATGAACATCTCAACATGAGGTAGCTAGATTACGTGTGAACATCTCAACCTGATATGAACTAGATTAAATGTGAACATCTCAAGTTGACATATATTAAATATGAACATCTCAACATGATGTAGCTAGATTAAATGGGAACATCTCAAGTTGACATATATTAAATATGAACATCTCAACATGATGTAGCTAGATTGTGTGTGAACATCTCAACCTGATATGAACTAGATTAAATGGGAACATTTCAGCCTGATGTGGTTAGATAAAATGCAAACATCTTTAACATGATGTGGATTACATTAAATGTGAACATCTCAACATGATGTGGATTAGATTAAATGTGAGCATCTGATGCGGACTAGATTAAATGTGAACATTACAGCCTGATGTGGTTAGATAAAATGCAAACATCTTTAACATGATGTGGATTACATTAAATGTAAACATCGCAACATGATGTGGATTAGATTAAATGTAAGCATAACATTTCAACCTGATGCAGACTAGATTAAATGTGAACATTCTGAAATGTGCATTAAATTAAAAATGAACATCTCAACTTGATGTAGACTAGATTAAATGGGAACATTTCAATGTGATGTGCAATAGATTAAATGGGAACATTTCAACATGATGTCCAATAGATTAAATGAGAACATTTCAATGTGATGTGCAATAGATTAAATGGGAACATTTCAAGGTGATGTGCAATAGATTAAATGGGAACATTTCAAGGTGATGTGCAATAGATTAAATGGGAACATTTCAAGGTGATGTGATTAAATGGGAACATTTCAAGGTGATGTGCAATAGATTAAATGGGAACATTTCAAGGTGATGTGATTAAATGGGAACATTTCAAGGTGATGTGATTAAATGGGAACATCTCAAAATGAACAGGATAATTCATCATAATGTGCAGAATATTGAAACACTCTTGTAAATACACTTTCTATTCCACTTTTAAAAATGCACCTGGGTTCAGAATGACTATAACTATTTAATAAAATGTCTGCTTTGAAATTGTTGGGTAATAACATACTTTTTCATAATTAAATTGAAAATTTCAGATTAAAACTGTTCTTTTCAATTTGTCATGTTCTTTATTATAAGTTTTTTTTTTTCATTCAATCATTCTGTGTTTATACTCTCATTCACGCTAATAAAATTGGAATTTGATATCAGATTGTTCATGCTATTACTGATTAGGGAATGTTGTGAATAGTTCCTACTCATGAAATTAATAACTTCAAACAAGAATAAATCCCCATTTTACCAAGCTGGAATTTTCTTTATCCAGACATTGAACAACTGCAAGCTTAAAGTAAAAGGCTTTAATATTGATTTTAATCAAATGTGTGGAAGGATGTACCCCAACTTGACATACATACCAATGTTAAGACAAGACAAGCTTGACAAAACAGGTAACAAACCTCTCCAGTAAAAATGTTCACTGCTATTCAAGGCAAACATGAGCTGATCTAAAAAAGACCCTCAAGAAGAAATTGCCTGGTCTAAGTTAATTTTCTTTCTCTATGATTGTGTGTGATTTAGATTTTTAACGTAGCTTTAACAAATTTTCAGTATCATGTCTCGCACAGTCACATTATCCTGACAACAGGTTGACCAGTCCTAACATTAACCTCTTAATGCTGAGCACCAATCGAGGCAGCTGTTAGTATCATTTTTGTAAGTCTTTCGTATGACTTGGCTGGGTTTGCATCCGAGACAGATGCTCTAACCACTAGGCCACCGAAGCAGTCACCCTACGACTGAATCTCATACAAGCTGTCTTATACTGTGATTCTGTTTCAATCATGATATGTACTTCCTGAAAACAAAGCATTATTAGTAAGCAAACACTCACAAGGTACCATACCTCTGTGACATGCCAGTACTTATAAAAGTGTCCAAAAAACCTTCAAAGCAAGACACAGCATCCACGTTTTTGAGCATCATGCCTTAATTCGAAGATATACAATGGCAATAGATCAAATGGTGTGCAAATTAGAGTAATATTCAATAAGACAGATGGGGCCATAATGACAAACTCCAGATGTGTGAAAAAGGTTTATCCTACAATGCTAGCTCATTGTAGAGGTGTTGCAATACATTAAACTGGAATTACCCCACTATACCCTTGTAACCAAATGTCACTACAGTCTGAAAACAAGATTATCATGAACTGCACATCACATGCCTGTTCCATGTTCATTAGTCCTCTATGTAAAAAACCCTTTACCTAATATAAGCGACTTTTAGCAATTTACCCAATGTCATGCTAAGCACCTTTTGGCAACGCTGTAAACAACAGCTATTTTGAGTGGGTTGTCATAGCACCACCTTTGGGGAAAACCCCCTGTTAGATACTACATTCATTGGTGAGAATGACCATTACATCAGATCATGAGGTCACTGTTGATGCTCTGGTTGCAATCTGCTATTTAAAGTAAGTAGGTCATAAGTAGGTCATATTCTTCATTCGACAAAATGGCAGTCTCTGATAATGTTCAGTACTTGAACCAGTAAAATCACAACTATGAAAGCTTCAATAACTTGGGGAAAGGCTCTGAGACTGAGGTAGAAAGCCCTTAGTTTTTATAAATTATCAAATTACACTGATTTTGTGATGTAGGCTCAGACAAAGAACTTGTAAATTTTGAGCATGGAAATTTGCCGCTGCCATTAATCACACAGCTTGACTGATTTGATAGTGAACCAGTTCTCTCAAGATTTTAAAGTACATACATAATTCTTTTGATAAAAATAATTATACAGCTATAACGAACTTATTTTACTCTTAAATCTTTCCATACATAATATATGTGTACCAAAAATGTAAAATAGTTATAATTGCTGTTAAACATAACATACATTTCACTGCTTAACAGGCCTATGCGTAGCTGACTGCACTGTGTAACTTTGCTACCTTCGTGATCCATGGGCTAAAAAGCCATACACTCTATGAGGGAAAGGGATAACTGAAATGTTTTTAAAGAAGCAACATTTCCTTTTTAGGTATAAGTCATCATGACATTTACCCTTTTGACCTTGAAGTCAGTAGGCTACTTCCTTACCATAACTCATTCAGCCCCATAGACTTTTGTCATTTTTACCTGAAATGGGGGTAGGAAACACATTTTGGAGCTTTAATTCTGAATGCATCCAAATAGATCTGCTTCCAAGAATTTTTAGCTTAGACTGATGCCCAGATGTGCTAGAAACAGTTTTTCACTGACTACTTGGCCCATGCATGTGCAGAAGGGTAAAATTTAGAGTGGTTTTTCTTTTTACTTATTGGACCCATCATTTTCATCTCCTGGCCACTTCTTACACCCAATCCCCAACTTATCCTACTTTTTGGGAAAGGTTCACCTGTCCATGTGCAGTTCACTCTGGTTTGCCTTAGATCAAAGGCCAAAAACTCTACAATCCTGACACAAAATCCAATTCATATAACAAGCGAATGTTTGGAGTAAAACAAATTGGGTCTCAAAAGATGTTTCCCCTCTGCATTTTGTAAAACAAGTAGAAAGTCCACATTATTTGATATCATTGTAGAGCTACATCTGTCTGCTTTATTGTAATACCACCCACTTTGGTGTATCTTAAATGACCGATGCGCTACAGAGCTTGGAAATAGCCACATCAAGCGTACAGGTGAGATTGGGGCTGAATGGTGGAGTTTATCATTTTTAACTTAGCTTTAACAAATTATCAGTCATATCTCTACACTGTCTGCAGTGTGGCAGTTTATAGTGATGTCTAGCACTAGGGCATCATGCAGCAGACATGTAGCATGATCGCTGTCCCACCCAGTCACATTATCACCAGGCCGACCAGTCCTAACACTAACCTCTTAATGCTGAGTGTCAAGCGAGACAGCTATTAGTACCATTTTTGTAAGTCTTTGGTATGACTTGACCAGGGATTGAACCCACGACCTCCCACATCCGAGATGGATACTCTAACCACTAGGCCATCAGAGCAGTAGATTCTAAGTAGTAAAATTAACATAAGGTGGTGAAGATTGAAGATCTGTCCCTCTACCATATGTTATTCCCCCTTTCAGCTACCTAATGCTTGATGATAATTTCACTTAGTACCTGCAGGAATCACATACCCACCTGCCCTCTCTGTCTCTCATCTTGTATCCTGTGACTTCATTAAAGACTGACCAGTCATGTGACCTATGCATCATCTAGTATGATCCCAAAGGGTACTACAATTTCAATGAAATTATCATCAAACTACAACTAGGTAAGTCTCATTTAATTTTCAAATTAAAATATGATCAGTAAAGTACTGAAATTGTACATACAGAAAAAGTTTGGAATATATAATTTACATTAATACAAATTAGGGTGGCTGAACTCACAGTGTAAGATAATTAGCAAGGAACTTGTGATAGGTCAGATTATAAACTGAACTTGTTGGACAATTTGTATTCATTGGGAGCAGCTGAGTCAGTATAACAACAGGTTTCCTTACTTTACTGACAGAAAGATGGTGGTCAGCATGATCAAATGTCAAGTCTGATTTTAGGTGTTGCAACTTGTAAACAAACATTTGAATACCAATTTTCTATATGAATAATCCTAAAAAATACAGGCACTCTCTTGTTATGTGGTAGTGGAGGGCACATTACTTCTGACCATATTATATAACATACAGCACTGTAGCCAGAGCCTGATATAATATATATATATATATATATATATATATATATATATATATATATATATATATATATATATATATATATATAAATATATATATATATATATATATATATGTGTGTGTGTGTGTGTGTGTATATATATATATATATATATATATATATATATATATATATATATATATATATATATATATATATAAAACTGCTATATATCCAGAATAACAAGATCTATAGAGCTGTGGTATATCAAACACTATCAAAATTTTGTTAAACAAATGTTTTTTAAAATGAAATGAAGATATAAAGACTAAATTTCTCCTTGTTTTCTTTAAACCCTTCTTGTTATACATATCTGCGAATTAGGTCATAGAGTCAGTCCATAGTAATACCACACAATATTCTAAATTGCATTAGAACAAGGTGCATTTAATGGGCTAGACAATACAGTTCCAAAGGACCCTAGTATTGATTCCAGGAGAAAACTTGATTTGTCTGATGTTTGGACCAGACTTTCTTAAGTAGATGCATATTTTCCTGGACATAGTTACTGTCCCTATGACTGTAGTGAATTCAGGCAAGTTTTCTAAAATTACAGATAATAAAAGGTACAGTCATCCGCAAAATGTTCCTATTATGGTTTTTGTTATATTTCATAAGGTTAAAAAAAATCATACTTGAATCTTCCTCATGACTGCAAACCCATGATCATAAAGTATTGGAAAATATTTAAAATAGACTGACAATGTGAAAGTATGAGTGAATTAATTATGTACATATTAACTACTGCACTATATAAAGACAGAAGGAAACCATGTAAAGGTTTAATATGTAAGTCTTCATTATAAATATCTGCAGAAGGAATCTAACAACTAGGTGAAGCAAATGGAGGTAATTAGAAAGAACAAGAGACCCAAGTATGCCTGACAGTGCTAGTTTACATAACTTGCTGAGTAAAACCATTAATTATTATATGCTCATCTTTTTTCTTCGTTAACTTTACATTGTCAGAATCGTGCAATATTTACCGATATTGAACACCTTCATACTGTATCCAACATACAAAGGAACTATTTTCTAACATAAACAATTTTTTATTTTTTTATGAATGAACTAAAGCATGTATTTCATAGACGGCCACATACCAGCAAATGTTTCATAGACTGACACATACAAACTGCTTGGGCACATACCGCGTTTACTTTTTTGATACAATGTTTCAAATTTAACTATATATTGATGCTATACAGGTTCCTCACAATAAAATGCAAGTTATACACAAACTGTCTTCTTTAGCTTAAATAAAAATGGCCAAAAATATACTTACAATTTTACATCCTGAATTTCCTCAAAAAATATATTTTCGTAGGTTTGTAAATCTGAATTAGATGAGCCATGTCATGGGTTAACAAGATTGATTACACATTTTGAAATTGTACTGTAATTTCGAGTATATTCCAAGTGTAGTTACATCCTCCTTACTGCACTCAAAATGAAATAAACATTAAATTCCACAGCGTGTTGTCCATAATTGCAATGGAAAGGCTTGATATTTTTCCCACATTGTGATCTGAATTATTCAATGACAGAAAAGAAACACACATGCAGATGTCAACAAAATTCAAATCATTAAATTGGCAGATGCTGCTGGAAACTGATGCAAGTCACTTCATGTAGACAAATCCAGACCATAATCAAAAGATTGCGTTGAATCGACAAATAATCCAAAAGGTATTCATTCCAGATCAAATGGAAAAATTGTTGCAATGCGTATTCATCAACAATATTACTCCAAATTTAAATTTTAAGTAGAGCAAGTGCCATTTTCTTTCGAAACTTACATCTAGCACGCGACCAACTTCATATTTATCTGGGCGGAGTTATGAGCTCATTAATAACGTTGTGTAATGATCCATCAACGCTTATATATTTATGGCGTACATTTAGTCACTTTGTTTCTTTCAGTGTATTTTTGTTTATATATTTAAGCCTTGGGAAGAATAAGAAATGAGCATATAATAAAAAGGTTACTGTATTTGTATGGGGAAATAAGAACTCGTTTTGTCAAAAGGTCGTGCAGTATATCCATCCAAAAACTCGTTCATATTATCCCATACAAATGCAGCAACCTATAAATCTAGCAGGCTTTGATAGTGTTGTAAGACCACAACCTCCCCTAACTTTATATCATGTCAATTTTACCTAGTTTATTATGCAATGATGTAAGTTATTTCTGAAGATAAACATGTAATCTTGCTTAAAACCGAGCTCATCCAAGATCTTAATGGAACTGAGTGAGAAATAGTGTGTGTGTGTGTGTGTGTGTGTGTGTGTGTGTGTGTGTGTGTGTTTAAGATTTGGATTTTTAACATAGCTTTAAAATATTTTCAGTCATATCACTATATTGTCCGCAGAGTGGCAGTTTATAGTGAAGTCTAGCACTGGGGCTACATCACAGACATGAAGAATCATGTCACACCAGTCACCTTCTCCTGACACAAGGCTGACCATTCCTAATGATGAGTGCCAAGAGAGGCAGCATGTAGTACCGTTTTAGCATGACTCAGCTGTGGTTTGAACCAATGACCTCCTGCATTTGAGGTGGACGCTCTAACCACTAAAGTCAATGGAGCAGTCAAAATATAGTCCCTTACTTTAATGAGGTAACAAATACAGCCAATCTGATGCAACACCAAATGAGTTTATTTAGCAAACTCTGGTCTTCGAAGCAGTAACAAACTCAGCCAGTTGGATACAAATATGCTTTGGTCTTGCTCATAATGGAACTTGTCCAGTGAGATACAAGACTATGTCATAAATCTCATAAATATGCTTGACTCTTGTGCATAATCAAACTTGTCCAATATCTGAATGGTATCAGTAAATTTGTGTGATTATGTGAATATGATTTTTAACGTACCTTTAACAATTTTCTAGCAATGGGGCATGATGTCGCGGACATTTAGCATGATGTCCCACCCAGTCACATTATCCTGACACCAGGCCGACCAGTCCTAACACTAAACTCTTAATGCTGATCAAGCAAGGCAGCTGTTAGTACATTTTTTTTGTAAGTCTTTGGTATGACTCGACCACCGGGGATTGAATCCATGGCTTACCGCACCCGAGGCGGACCCTCTAACCAATAGACCATGGAAGCGGTTATCAGTAAATTTATAGAAATCTGATCAGAAATATAACTGCTTGAGTCTTAATGAACAATAATATGCAAAATCACCTTAATGTGTGGATTTTTCTCATAATTGTAACCTCTGAGGTCTTGATGACTTAGGTCAATAACAAGGTTTCATCAAAAGTGTTGTCAGAAATAGTCTTTAAAGTGGTACCATGCCCAATACAATAACCTCACTATTATTGCTTGATCTTACTTGGTACTAATATCTTCAAATAGCTTAATTATAAAAGTCCAAATTAAATAAAAAAAAAAAAAGATATATTGCTTCAATAGTGTTAACAAGCTCAAACGATCAGCTGTATGATAATTATACTGACTTTGTTCATTACTGAACTCGTTAAAAATCTTGATGATAGGAAACCACATTCAAAATCTGATGAAGTGTGTGTGCTTTAGAATTTTAACATAATTTTAACAATTTCTCAGCCACATCACTATAATATTTGCAGTGTGACAGTTTATATTGATGTCTAGCACAGTGGCATCATGTGGCAGACATGTAGCATCATGTCCCACCCAGTCACATTATCCTGACACCAGGCCAAGCAAGGCAGCTGCAAATACCAATTTTATAAATCTTTGGTATGACTCGGCTGGGGTTTGACCTCCAGCATCCTGGGATTCGAACCCATGACCTCCAGCATCCAGGGTTGACACTCTAACCACATGGCTATCAGAGCAGATCCGAAATCTGATCAAACCAAGATATGAAATATGCCCAAAGTGGTCACAAGTATTTTCTGATGGAAGTATAATGAATATGGGACCATAAATTAAGCTCATTTGCCCTTACAGCCAGGCAAGCTAAATAAAATAGACTGCATGTGAGGTTACAACCAATCAGTGTTGTCTGTGTAGACTCAAGAATTGGTAAGATATCTATTATCTAAAATATTGTTAAGACAGGCATGTAATGATCTTCCAATTCTGATCAAAACTGACACATGTACTCATTTATAAGTTGAATCAAACTGCAAGCAACAAAGATTCTGATCTGCTGTAATATAATGTGCCTGCCAACCAGGGTCTATATTGTTTATTCGACTGATTGCTCCAAACAAACTGCACAGACCTAGAACTGCCAGTGAATTATACAGCAGCAGATCAGGGTGTGT